TGCGTGCACGCCATCAGCAATGGAAGCAGCTGATCTCCTACGGTTTCATTACTCCCAAACTTTCCAGCAGCTAACGAGCCCAAATATTCTCCTCGTTTCTATTACTCTACCGTCAGGATTAGACAACATCACCGTCACTGCGGAAGCTGTGTTGAAGAAGTTGTTATCCTTGCGTATCCACAGTTCTCCTGGAGTCGACAACATCCGACCAAATGCTCTGCAGATGGTAGCTAGTGATCTAGCAGAACCACTGACTGTTTTCTATCAGCGATGCTTAAAGGAGAACCATATTCCACCAGTATGGAAGCGAGGGGTCATCACTCCTATCCATAAAGGAGGTAGCCGCACTGACCCTACCAACTACCGTCCAATAACACTACTTCCTGTACTATCCAAAGTGATGGAATCAATCATCGCAGATGAGTTGATGCAGTATGTGTAAAGCCTCAACTTAATAGCCCCAGAGCAACATGGCTTTCGTCAAAAGCGTTCATGTACTACTAACCTATTAATTGCACGTAATAGCTGGACTGAAGCTGTTGATGATGGAGCAGGAGTCGATGTCATCTACCTGGATTTCTCAAAAGCGTTTGATCGCTTAGAACAAGGAATTCTCCTTCAGCAGCTTCGGAACTACGGCATGGGCGACCCAATCCTGAGTTGTATTAGCAATTTGCTACATGAACGACGGCTCGAGGTGCGAGTCCGAGAATCATTGTCTGATGCAATCGATGTGCAGTGTGGTGTACCACAAGACTCGGTGCTTGGACCTCGTCTATTCTTGTTGTTCATTAACGATTTGGCGAGATAAATTGCTTCCGATTTCCTATTTTTCGCGGATGTGCTCAAGAGTTGGCGAATGATCAGAGGACCGGACGACCATGAATGGCTCCAGTGCGACCTTAACACAGTGTTGATCCGGTCAGTTCAAAGCGCCCTACCATTCAACGTAGACAAATGTTGAGTTGTACAATTGCGCCGTAGATATAACTACACCTATTTGCTTGGGACAAACGCTTTGCAGATTAGCCCCCAGGAACGTGACCTTAGTGTGCTCGTACGCATTGATCTCAACTGTTCAAAACAGGCTGAGGTAGCTGTGAAAAGAGGCAACCAGCACGTCGGCTTGCTGCGAAAGGCATTCGGGAGATTTGACCCATCAATCTTCTTAATGACGCACAATTCCTACGTACGCCCTTACGCTGAATACACTATCTAAGCTTGGCAACCTTGGTTGAAACGCGACCCAGAGACATTAGAGACGTCACAACGAACAGCAACAAAGAATGCTAAGGGCCTGCGCCATCACTCTTGCCACCGAAGGTTGAAGGTGCTGAGAGTTTTCAGTCGACGATACCGAAGACTGCGCGGCGATCTCATAGTAGCGTACTAAATATTGTGTGATCCCGAACATATACGTCATCATTTGAGGAAACTAAGCCACAACACGCAGCTAAGGGGTAACTGCTTTAAATTGAAGGAACAACATAGCCGTCTAGTGCTGACGGAATTACTTTTCCCTTCGGGTTTTGTCAACTCTGGAGCACACTCCCAGAATCAGTTGAATCCTCCCCTACTTTGGATAATTTCACAAAACTATTGCATGTTGCTCTTATCCACCAACACTTTATTACCTAGATTACGCCATTTGGGATTGCGCCGATCATGCCTTTCTATAGGATTTATGTGTCATATGGACCCAAGAAGACGGTGAATAAATGGGTGACCATATTTTACTTTGCTCACACCTTACATCATCGACCACTGCATCTCGTGTATTTCTGCATACTTTCACTTGCTTTTTATTTGACACCGAAGTGATTAATCAACGCATTTATCTCGGTGGATGCTCGGTAGATGACTCACATATATGTTGATTTCATCGTATTCACCCCAACAATCCTACGGGACCCGTCAAGCACTTGATTTTATTCCATGAAAAAGCATTGTTCCATGTTCAGCATTCAGCTCTAGCATACATGTCACGGAGAGAGATAAATAATAAAATGTAGCATTACACTAGTAAATGTGTAAAACTATACTCGTTGAAAAACGTTGACAGAGCTATTATCACTGGAGTGATGTACTAACCAGTTATTGAATGATTAAATTATTACCGCTCAGAAAAGATTACAGACAATGAATTACTGACATACCACAAGTACCTAGTCTGGTCGAGGAGGTTGATACACATTCGGACAACGCCTTATGGAGGCGGTAGCTAACCACAAGTGAGTATTTTAGATGCAAGCTCGTTCCAAGAGTTGACATGGCTAGGTAAAAGGATGTTAACAAATCACGGCCTTGAAAAGCCTGAATAGTTGTTTCATTGATATAGCAAATAGTTAGAGCTATTCACTCAGGAGAATAGGATATAACCCAGGAAAGAAATAGGTCCCGTAATGTCACACACATGCAGTACTAAAAGATTGGATCAAAAATCGGGTTACGGAAAAATACCTGAGAATTATAACCTAGAATGATAGTCTCCTAACTTTAGTGTCATTATACCTCCACACTTTGGGGATGATGAGAGCCCGTGGCAAACTTTTGCACACCATCCTTTCAACATTTGTGTGAGATAAGGATGTTATATGCCCCCGATTCTCCCAAGCTTTGAGAACGCTTTCGGACTTTCCTCAGTATATCCCTTCCATGTAATTACACAACTGGTTCTTGACTGATTACTAGTTGATTTATTTAGACATGCTATGTGCTTCCCACCACCCAATGCAAGTACTGTTACAGGAATGGAAAATGTTTTTTGTTGATTTATGGTGGATGTTTGTGAGTAGCGTAAAGTTCGAAGAAAGCTGAAGCCCCGATTAAAATTCACGCACAATAATAGGCCTCGACGGGGAGTCGAACCCCGGTCCACGAATTTCCGGTCCGCTGCTCTACCACCTGAGCTACCGAGGGCTGATGATTAGGTGCGCAAATTTTAACGCATGTCTTCTGCTTGGTGCGCGACGTGTTGCCAATAAGCTCACAGTACCTGTCCTGATGTTGCAGATTGGCTCACTCACCCGTCACTTCCCAATAGACCGAAGTTCCTGTCCTTCAGACGTCCAATGGGCGATGGTAGATTAATGGTGGATGTTTGTGAGTAGTGTAAAGTTCGAATCGTAGCTTCTACTTTCTTCGAACTTTACACTACTCACAATCATCCACCATTAATCTACCATCGCCCATTGGACGTCTGAAGGACAGGAACTTCGGTCTATTGGGAAGTGACGGGTGAGTGAGCCAATCTGCAACATCAGGACAGGTACTGTGAGCTTATTGGCAACACGTCGCGCACCAGGCAGAAGACATGCGTTAAAATTTGCGCACCTATTCGTCAGCCCTCGGTATCTCAGTGGTAGAGCAGCGGACCGGAAATTCGTGAACCGGGGTTCGACTCCCCGTCGAGGCCTATTATTGTGCGTGCATTTTATTCGTGGCTTCTACTTTCTTCGAATGTTTTTGTGTCTACTCACTAGAGAAAACCCAGAACCAGAAAAAGTAGGGCTTTATTAACCCAGTAGGGTGCCTAAATACAGACGACGCTGTTGCCGAGAATGTATTCTTCGTATTGCCAAATGCTGATGTGCCTTTGCGAATATGATGCATTTTGCAACATCGTAGGGACAGTCAGATCTTGTTAAAGGAAAGGGTTTATAAAAATGCAAGAATGGTTTAATACGAATAAAAAGCTAAAGCTTAACAGGTCCCGTAGGCTGATCATGGTGTATATTGAAACACAGTTGCGATATTGCTATGCGGAAGAGAATCCTTGGCCGATCCGTGTAGATACCATGAATATGCTCTCAGCTTTCGACAGTGGTTGTTCCCGGAAGATTGTCCTTCTGGGTCGGCAACACGGATTATGCAATGATGATGCTAGACATCTCTGCCTCGACAAGGCGGACCTTACACTATGTGAGTTTGTTCTACTGCGCTACTTAAGACGACCTGACTACATCCTGCGAATTTCCAATGAGGGCTGCAACCAGCTTGCTCAAGCAGATCTGCACTGGAAGTGGCTACTTGCGAGCTAACCGAGTACCTGGCAACGAGGCGTGAACTTCTGAACGTCTTGCCTAGCCATCGCTGCCCCCGTACGGCTTGATGGTTATGGACCCAAGTATGAACAGTGCCAACGGCACACAGCACTCGAACGTTGAACACTGATTTATCACGGGATAAACACTATTGCTTGATACGTCCCGTAGGATGGTACAATGAACGCAAGATATTTGTGAGTCATCTACCGAGCGTTTACCAAGATAAATGCGTTGATAAATAACGTTAGTGTAAACTGAAAATCAAATGTAAGCACACATAAAGTAATGGCGTAAACTCGGTCGAAGTGGAAACGTTCTTTGCAGATTGTATTAACCTCCCATTTCAATAGCATTTGTCCTAACAAATGACCCAGCAAGTAGATTGCAGTTGGATGCGAGCTTATTTTGGCTACCTCATTATTTGCATTGTGTGAACAACGAGAATGCACGAAAAGTCAGTGTCATCCCAACAATATTCATCTTATGATGTTCGTAATTAGAAATTTTGATATTCCTTTTTTTCTTCAGTACCAGTTTATTATGATAAACTGCACATGTAACGACCTGTGGTTCTCATTTCCACGCCTTCGAATGTCACAGGCCACAAGCTGTCTCTCGGAACAGGAACGAAATGTTGGCAAAGCAGTTCAGTAGTGCTTGGCAGTCGCTCACCCCGGTTCAGTCAAGCCACATTGACCATCATCTCCAATGAAGGTGATTCAGCTGAGAACAAAAATGATCGCATCCGTGTCATATGGCCTTCGGTGTTACCTAGCAACATAACATGTAGTAGACTGGCATAAGCGCTCCGGAATGGGCGTGAGGTAGCGCTAGGAAACGTGCATCCGAATATATCACTGAGAAGAAAACAGCAACCTTCCTCACCACGCAGAGAAAAGATGCGTACGTTAAACTGAACTTCGCCACAAACAGTTACGAAGTAATGGCGCTTACAGATGAGTTCAAAGCGTTTCGTGTCCTTGGTCATTTCGGAAGGGTTACACGCAGACGTCACTTTTGTCGTTGAATCGGTTGAATGTTTGACAGGGGAATTGTTGATTCCAGCATGTACAGGCGGACGACCGTGAGTGAAATATCGATACACTGTCGCTCTCGAATTGTCGAAGGCGACCAAAAGCAGCTGCGTAGAAGCGTAGGTGAGAAGCGAACACAAAGGATAGTGTACACAGTATGCAAACCGGTTAAATATTGCAAGCCGCAAACTATAGGTGCTGGAAGATGAGTAGGCCACTCTACAAACTAGGCCAGAAGGATCAATGCTAAATTGACTTACTCAACCTGGCTGTATTGATGCATATGTATTCCATGCAGACGCGCGTCCCAAATGAAATGACACGGTACACCTGTCGCATAGTCGGGTAGTTAGACAAATTCATTTGTATAACCAACACGACAGGTACACTTTGGCCAATTCAAATAAACTGCATCTACTGGCTATTTGCGAGCAAGGTATGTAGCTCAGCATTAGGCAGAGCCAATAGCTATCCACCTTATCGAGGCTTTTTGTGAGGCTGAGAAGATTCCTCCACCACACAGCTAGAATAGCTCTTTTCCGAATGCGTCATGGCTGTTCGACTGAGCCTAGCTGCGACAAACCATCTCGAAACCCATGCTGCTGTGGCGCACAGACAAAAATATCCAACTGCGCCTCCCACTCAAGTTAACCTTTGAATGATGTTGCGAAAAATGCTTGGACAACGTAAACAATTTGTAGTGTCTGCAACTGAGTAGCATTGCGCAGGCAATAGTAAACATACAAGTAGGTAATAACGTCTATCTAATTATCGATTCGCTGTAGAGCGAAATGATCGTGCACCACATCAAAATAATGTTTCACAGATGCCTGTAACAGTTACAAACTCTCTCCGGATAATCTTACACTGTAGCCTAAGATAGGCGATGCGTTAAAATGGAATGACCTAGTTTTCCCTCTATCCAAAGTACGACGGTATCGGTAACTTCTCAAAAACTACACTCAAACTACACTCTTCCACGTTATTGAGGTATCTAAGAAGCACAATTAGTTACGATCATGGTTACCTCATGCTAACAAAAAATGTGCAAGGTCAGCAGTCTTATGCTCAATGTTTGTGAGCATACGATTCTTTTCTGGGATGTGTCACACCTGTGTCAGCCCACTGGACATTTTGCTCCCCTATGATATTAACTCATTTAATAACACTGTCTAACATCATACTTAGAAAAAAATGAGATAGGGTGTTGCTAGTAGTACCAAGTGAGCTGATTGCAAAAATGCAAAAAAAATGTTTCTATCACATCGGGTTTTTGTATGATTTCAGTTCTTTATGTTAGCTAAGCCGTGCAGTCCATGCATCAAATGCTCGCCTGTGATTGGTCCATTGGCTCCCTGTAACCATGTAACAGAAGTGATCTTGGTCATGGAATCCACCTGATACTATTAGTCCATTGAGAGCTGCGTTTCCTTAATTGATTTCATGATTATAGCAGGAAGACTCTGCTGTCAATGACCGAAATCGTTTTTGTTACGTCTGTGGACAGTTTACTGTAAGGTCAGAGTGCAAACCCATTTCTTCGCTGCTGACGTTTGCTCATCACGCATAATTCGGGATGGAACTCAGCGATCAGGATAAGAAGTGGCGCGACATTTCGTTTGTGTGTCTTGCAATCTCCATCCTACACAGTCGCCCAAGGGCAAAGGCAAGATGTCCTTTGCAATCCCCATGGTGTGGAGGGACCCGAAGGACCACACGCGAGACTGCTACTTCTGCCTAACTAGTGCCCTTAGATTCTCCAACCGAAACATGCACATAATTCATTACCCCGTTCTTCCATCAGCTATCCGACCTGTTCCACATGATTACACTGGCTGGCTTGTTGAACATCCTCCTCGTGGTGCCAGCCGGGTGGTTCGGGTTAATCCCAGTCCAGCCAATAGTTCGGCGGTAATGTTCCAAGACGTGGTGGATTATGGCCAAACAAGCGTTCTTCCTATAAAAGCCACAGATGTCTGCTGAACAACACCGAGACCCGGCGGATGTGACTCGCCACTAAATAAACGTACTGCCCCTTGCCTCTCTCTGAGTGGCGTTGTAATTCAAGCGTGTGTTGGGCCCCTGGTCCTATACGGTCCTAAAGGCGTACGAACCACTTGTTTGGGTACCGGCTCCCAATGGGTTGTGATACCATCATTTCGCCCTGCTGCCTTGTAGTCTAGATCCCGGATCAGAGGATTGTTGTAGGTTTCCTAAGGCAACACTCTACTTCAACATGGGCAACCGGGTAGTATCACGCCCACTGACGAACCGTGGATGTATTATACTGCTGCTTTCATTACTATGTCTAATTGCTATCCTGTCTCTGCAGCTCAACATCCGCTCACAGATCGCCCCACGTCCAGTTCCTTAATTACATCTATATCTTCCCTGGTCACCGGCAACAACTACGCACTGTTCGCATCTAACAGAGTTCTGAGCCAAACTTTTAGTGTTCGTTTCCCGGTGGTCACAACATTCTCACACACCACCGAAGCCCAAGCTTTCCTTCGACCTGGTCCTCTATTCGACATTGTGGCGTTCCATGTGAGCAATCTGATACAGAGCAGATGACAATCATACCTGTCTCGCACCCTTAAGACACTCTCGTTGAACATCTGATGTCTTTCCGACACTAGATTACAAGACACCAGTACGGTCATCACAACGACCACGCCGGCAAACCCTGATGTCAAATACCACTTGCGCCTTTCTGGAGACCAAAGGGCCGCGGCTTCTGGCGAAGCTGGTTTTGGGCTTGCGCTTAGTGACAGGGCTGAGGCCGCATTGCTTGACTGGATCCCAGTCAACATTCGGCTATGTGCAGTCTGACTACGAGTTAACTTACTTTAAGTAATCGTCGAGATGTCACGGGTACCTTGTTTGTCATCTCCGCCTGCGTTCTTACAGACTGCAGCCCGGATGCAGTCAAGGATTGCTGTTACCAACAGCTACATGACCTTCTGTGTTCCTCCAAAAATCTGACAGTGTTATACTTGCCGGAAATTTTAGCGCACCAGTGGGCTGCTTGCCACCAAGAGCGCACCATGTTTGGCGTAGTTTTGGCCTCGGTAGCAGTCGATCAGACATTGGAGACAGGCCACGGAATCTATGTTCTGATCAGCACTTGTTTCTTTCGAATACCGGTCTTCGGTATTCGACAAGACAGATTGCCACATGGCGTCCGTCTTCCCAAACGCGATCGGTCCCAACTTGACCACATAGAAACAAGCCACAGATGGTGCGGATAAGTAACAGACTGCTGATCCTACTGGTCAACCGGTCTGTACACCGATCATGCACCGGTTCGCGCCGAGATTTGCATGCGTTTCGGAGGATCACCCAGACGTACGCACTACCGACCGAAAGAAAAATATCTGCAACATCCTGCGACGGTAGCCAAGTACAAGACTTCTCTCTCAACACTGCTTGCTTCATCCTCTGACGATGGTCTGAATTCGCAAGGGATGCGCACCAAAGACGCCTTAATTTCTGCCAGTACTGTCAGTTGTGGAATTGTTTATCACTCGCCAAAAAGCTGGATCACCCCTGCCTACTTGTCGCTGATAGACAGACGCCGCTTGATCTCAGCCGACACCAGATGTAGTGAGGATCGTTGATCCCTGGATCGAGTGTTGCGTAGGAGCTTGCAAAAGGAACGTGAGACCTGGTGGTGTGAACATGCCAGAGAGATGGAACTTGCTGACCTCTCTGGTAATAACAGAAAACGGTTCCACCTCATGCGAGTCACCGAATGCTTCCGATCTAGATTAAGCGAAGCAATCTGCGAAGAGGATAGCTCCATAATCCATAATCCATTGACGGTTGGAGCGATAAGCCGAACATTTTGGATCGCAGTTTTCCTGGCCGCCAGCTCATCAGTTTCCCCTGGGCGCGCACTGGTGATGAGTGGACTAGCCCCACTGATCTTCCCTCTCACAAGATATTCTGGCAGGAACTCTGCTGCCTAAAGCGTTATGAGGCACCCGGCCTTAAGGGTCTACCTCCTGCTAGATTTAGAGATGGGGGCTCTTCGCTGGTTCGAGAACTAACCGCTTTGTTCTCCGAAGTCTGGGCAAAAGTGAAGGTATCATCATCCCGGAGAGTGAGTCGTCTTCGTTTCCAGGTTATATAAGGGCCTGCGCACAAAGTGCACCAATTACAGGGGCCTAAGTTTGGCTCCCGTCATTTGCAAGATTCTGATGTCAATCATACTTCGCAGGCTATCCACAATGTGTATATTCCTACAGCGTGAAGAACAGGCTGGTTTCCACCCTGGTCGCGGCTGCATCAATCAGACTTTCATACTACGCCAGATTCGCGAGCTCTACTATGTATATCAACAGCCAATGATTGTTGTGTTCCTGGATATCTGTGTCGTCTTCGATTCTGTCGACAGGGCTGTGTTGTGGCACTGATTGATGTCGAATGGCATTCTCGAGAAGTTTGTTTCCGCACTGCGAGGTCTGTAAAGTCTGACAATGGGTAGAGTTAGGGCTTATGGCAAGCTTTTGCCTTCCTTTGTGGTCACCAGTGGGGTTCGACAAGGATGCCGTATCTCTCTATTCCTCTTCAACTTTACCATTGGAGATGTCCATTAAAATACACTAGAAGGCTTGTTGAACGCTGGTGTTGAGCTCCTCCCAAATAGTCGGGTAGTTGATTTGGATTACGCTGATGATATCGTCTTGTTGAGTGACGGTCTGCAGACCGTTCAACTTGCAATTAACCGCCTTCCGATTAAAAAGTCGAAGTATGGCCTGCACTTTTCACCACCAAGGTGCAAAGCGCTTTTCCAAGAGTGGCATACGCCCCTACCTGCACTCACCATCGATAGTGAAACGCTGAAAGTTGTACATAGTTTTGTCTACCTGGGAAGCTGCATCACTCCTGGTGGGGCTGTTATAAATAAGATTTCGATGCGCAGCTCAAAAGCTCGTCTCGCCTTTTCCAGGTTGAGGCGTTCATTGCGCCGCCATGACGTCCGTCTGTCTAGCAAAGGGCTGGTTTGATTTTCAGCCATCCGCAATGTACTGTTGTACGGTTAAGAGACTTGGTTTGCTCGTTCCGATGACTTGCGCCAAATGTTTGTCTTCGAGAACCGTTG